TACGCTCCGAGAGGAATAAGCCCGAGCCCCCTCCGAAGGAGATGGGGAGCTCTGCCGCGTCCCCCTCTGCGCGTCTGATGCTTGTTCGGGCCTTGCCTCTTGGAGAAGCACGCTATTGCGTCCTTTGTATTCTCAGCCTTTTCCTGGTAGGAGGCCCGTGTGGCTAAGGGGAGCGCGTCTGGGCAAACGTTGACCTTCGTGCTGCCTGTTTCAGGGAGGGTTCTGCTGAGGGAGGTACAGGCGCTCACTCTCCACAGAGGCCAGTACACGACATCCCGGCGGACAGCTGCAGTCCCTCAGCTACAGTGCACGGGAGGCACTGCTGGATGTTCCCGCGTCCCTGAGGTCGTTCAGTGTTACAACAAAGGTTGGGATGGCTATGATGTACAGGTAACTGTTTAAAAGCTGTTGAACGTTTAATGAAATCGTCTTCCCCCAGACTTGGTAGCTTCCAAAGGAGAAAAGAGTAACAGGCTAGGGGGTCAGTTCGGCTTGCTTTTTGTTAGAGGACCTTTGACAATTAAAGCTTAACCTAAAGAAAGCCTTTCTAACCTGGAAGACATTTTTTACGCTGAGGGTGGTGAAGCACTGGCACAGGTTGCCCAGAGAGGTGGTGGATGCCCCATCCCTGGAAACATTCCAGGTCAGGTTGGACGGGGCTCTGAGCAGCCTGATCTAGTTGAAGATGTCCCTGCCCGCGGCAGGGGGGTTGGACTAGATGGCCTTTAGAGGTCCCTTCCAACCCAAACTATTCTATGATTAAATACTTTTTGGGTTTGGATTTTCTAGGACTACTGTAGGTATATCTTTGAAATGTGCCTGAAGGCTGTAATGTAAGAACACTGCATAGCAAACCTTCGTTGGTTTTAATTAAAATGTTGCTGGAGTTCATAAGATCAAACTCTTGTGAACCCTTGAGGATGCTCTTGCTTTGGCATTGCTGCATGGATTTCCAATTTTTAGAGTAGAAAGGGCTATAAATATTTGCATCACTCTACCTTTTAAAAACTAAATTTCAGACTTGCGTGACTTCCTCTGGTGTGTCAGTACTAGTCAGTAAATAGTCATGTGTTTCTGTTTTGTTAGCTATTACCCAGGCTTCTGCCAATAGATTAACAATTACCTTCAGCCTTGATTCCTGGTTAAAACTGATACAGTATTGTAAAAGTACAGTCAAATTTGAATTGGCAGTTGGTACTGCTCTCCTGAATTATTAGTTTAGAAACTACTACTTTTTTTTTTCCCAGAATATGTGTCACTTGCAGTTAGAGGTGATACCTAAGTTCAGATACTTCAAGGAGACATGAGACTGAGGAATCTGCATATACTTAACAGCAGAATCGCAATCTGAGTGTTAAGTGCTGCATATGAATGCCTAATGATATCTGTCCCAATTTCTTTTGATTTCTGTGTGGAAATAAATGGAATCAGGTGCACTGGATTTCAGGCTTCCATATTGTGTTTTTGTAGCTGCCATCCAGTTTACATGGGACAGACATTTATTAAGTAACTGTTGCACGGGGTATAGGTTATTTTTAGAAGTATTCCTATACCTAAAGAAGGGATACTTGAAAAACCTGTTCAGTGAAGAAAAACAAAATCTTCCAGAGTTGTAACACTTCTGTGTTCTGAAAGATCAGATTTTTTTTTTAACTTTTAGGACTTTCAAAAACATTCTTAGTTAATTTCAAATTCTTAGTCCTTTTCAAAGTACAAGTGCTCAGAAATTTCTTACCCTGTGGCCTTTTAGATGATTTGTTAGCAATTACAGCTTTATTTCAGAATATATTTGGGGAAGCAGACAGGTATTTTCACCTCGGGAACAGGAGGTTTTACTTTGTATTGTGTTTATCTTTTCAGTGGCAGTGCAAAGCAGACTTGGAAAATACCTACCGTTTTGGACAGATCGAAGTGAGCTGTGAAGGCTACGATTATCCGGATGATCCTTACGTGATTTGTTAGCAATTACAGCTTTATTTCAGAATATATTTGGGGAAGCAGACAGGTATTTTCACCTCGGGAACAGGAGGTTTTACTTTGTATTGTGTTTATCTTTTCAGTGGCAGTGCAAAGCAGACTTGGAAAATACCTACCGTTTTGGACAGATCGAAGTGAGCTGTGAAGGCTACGATTATCCAGATGATCCTTACATCTTAAGAGGCTCCTGTAGTTTGCTGTTCAGGCTAGAGCTGACTGAAGAAGGTGAAAGGAAAGTGAAGAACTCTGGAAGTTTTGGTTCTGGCTATTATCAGTCAAGGAAGGATTCTTCTGATTCTGGTGCTGGAGCGATTGTTATAATTGTTGTTCTGGTTCTTGCTTTTGGAGTATACAAGCTCTTCCTCAGTAACCAGCAGCCTCAGCAGAGTTTTGGTGACAGTGATGGATTCACTAGGCCTTCCTGGCAGAGTCAGCAGGCACCGCCTCCTCCTGGTTTTAAGTCCAGCTTCACAGGTAGGGCTCCGAGCCATTTACAGTACTCAAAAGAGCAAGCAGGATTGTACTGTTTTATCTGCAGTAGGTGCAGGTGGGATAGACTTAAAACCAATACGTTGGCAGTTGACTCTGCTGAATTGGCTGCAGACCCTGCAGCCAGCTTTGCATTCTGTTCTTTGTTCGAAAGTGAAAATAAGATCTTGGTTTCCCACAGGCTTTCAGGGCAGGCTGTGCAGCAAGCTGCCCTTGGAACCTTTGAAACTCTGTCTGCCCATGCTCTGCAAACGTACTTTTCATACTCTGTGAAATACGAGGATCGTGACAGGGAAGAATAATTTTCACAAGTAATCTGGAAGAGAGGATAGTCTCACGCAGGCGGAAACAAACTCATGCCAAAGAAGTGCTTTGAAACTTTACAGAAGAGTCTTTCAGCCATTGGGCTGCTGACCCCTGATTTCATTCACAAAGCAGTTGATAGGGTTGAGTATCATGTACCAGTCCTCTGTTTAACAGGTGCTTCAGTGTAGTCCCAGTGGTTGAAAGGTTTGGTTCCCAGAGCAGAGAACAGTGTCTCTGAACTATCGTTAGAGGTGCAGCACCTGAATTTCATGTGGTGCCTTTAGTCTGAAGCTGGAAATTGAATAAGCAGTGACAAGGCTGTTGCTAGGAAAAGATGCACTTTTTCTTTTCCCAGGAAACTGATGACTTTTGTCCCTTAATAAATGGACTGCCTCAGATGGTCATAGTGTCCAAGGGAAATAAACATTATTCATCTGGTGTCTGACTAACTCATTAAACCCTGTGAACGTGTGAAATGCTCACAGCACTGGAACTCAAATTACATTCTGACAAGTTGCATAATCTCCACATCTTTTCTTTTTTTGTGAGACAGAGAAGGGGTTCTGTCAAGTAAATAAGTAGCAAGGATTAAGTTCGCTTAGTCAAAAGGTTACATTTTAGTAATGCTTGTTAATGCTTTCTTCCAGGTTTGCTCGAGCCACTCTGCCAACAGAGGGTGCCAGTATAACTCTCTTGGATAGCCTTGTGCAGGGCATGTGCAGCAGAAACTTTCAGATGTACCTGCAGCAGAAAATTAAAGGGGTTCTGCTTCTGTATTACTAGTGGCTTTGCAAATTGGTTTCCATGTAGTTATTTCAGACTTCAGACAGTCTGTCTATGCTGCTTGTGCGTCAGCGGCTTTGTGTGTGCATGCCACTTGCCACTGGCGTTACTGTGGTAGTTACTAAGAGCCCTGGTCATAAGACAGGGCTCTGTCATACTGGGCACAGGCAAAACAGACTGAAGGGTTACTTTTTTTTTTCCTGTCCTGTTCCTTGTCAATTAATTGCACCAATGCATTTTTCATTGCAAGAGT